CTCGGAGGGCTCTGGCCGGTCTGCCCGGGGCTCGGAGGGCGCGCTCCGGTCTGCCCGGGGCTCGGAGGGCTCGCTCCGGTTTAACCGGGGGGCGGCTCTGGCGGCCCGCGGGGCTCGGGGGGCTCTGCGGAGGCTCCGGGGCCGCTGGCGCTGCCTCGGGCACCGCAACGACACCGAGCTGCGCTTCCTGCCCACGCTGCTGCTGAGCTGCGTCCTCCTGCACAACCTGTGCCAGCTGCGCGGGGAGCCGCTCCCGCACCGGGAACAGCGCCGGGAACACCGGGAACAGCGCCGGGAACACCGGGAACAGCACCGGGAACAGCGCCGGGAACAGCGGCGGGAACACCGGGAACAGCGCCGGGAACACCGGGAACAACAACTGCACAACCTGTGCCAGCTGCGCGGGGAGCCGCTCCCGCACCGGGAACAGCGCCGGGAACACCGGGAACAGCGCCGGGAACAGCGCCGGGAACACCGGGAACAGCACCGGGAACAGCGCCGGGAACAGCACCGGGAACAGCGCCGGGAACAGCACCGGGAACAGCGCCGGGAACAGCGCCGGGAACAGTGGGAATACCGCCGGGAACAGCGCCGGGAACAGCGGGAGAGACAGCGGGAACAGAACCGGGAACAACAACTGCACAACCTGTGCCAGCTGCGCGGGGAGCCGCTCCCGCACCGGGAACAGCGCCGGGAACAACGGGAATATCAGGAGAGACACCAGGACAAACCCCGGGAATACCGGGAACAGCACCGGGATAACGCCCGGGAACAGCAGGAACAACACCGGGAGCGACACCGGGACCGCCGGAACCGCCCCGATTCCGACCCAAATCCCCCCGATCTGAACCCAAATCCCCTCGATCTGAACCCAAATCCCCTCGATCTGAACCCAAATCCCCTCGATCTGAACCCAAATCCCCTCGATCTGAACCCAAATCCCCCCGATCTGAACCCAAATCCCCCCGATCTGAACCCAAATCCCCTCGATCTGAACCCAAATCCCCCCAATTCCGACCCAAATCCCCCCGATTTCAGCCCGGATCCCCCCGGTTCCGATTCCCGCCCCAATTCCCCCGATTCCAGCTGCGGTTCCAGCCCCGATTCCCTGGATTTCAGCCCAAATTCCCTGGATTATTCCAGCCCGAATTCCCTGGATTCCAGCCCCGGCTCCCCCCAGGACGAGGAGGATGAGGAGGATGAGGAGGATGAGGAGGAAGGCCGGAGGCTCCGGGCGGCCGTGGTGGCGGCGCTCGAGGGGCTCAGACCCGAATTTGGGGGTCCCAAGATGATTTTGGGGGGCTCAGACCCGAATTTGGGGGGTTTAAACTCAAATTTGGGGCTCCCGAGCTGATTTTGGGGGGAGTTCAGACCCAAATTTGGGGGTCCCTGGATGATTTTGGGGGGTTTAAACCCAAATTTGGGGGTCCCGAGCTGATTTTGGAGGTTTAAACCCAAATTTGGGGGTCCCAAGCTGATTTTGGGGGGTTTAAACCCAAATTTGGGGGTCCCGAGCTGATTTTGGAGGTTTAAACCCAAATTTGGGGGTCCCAAGCTGATTTTGGGGGGTTTAAACCCAAATTTGGGGGTCCCGAGCTGATTTTGGGGGGCTCAGACCCGAATTTGGGAGGATTTGGGGGATTTTCCGGCTCCCGAGGGGATTTGGGGGATCCCGGAGGGTCCGATCCCCAATCTGGGGGGTCCTGGGGCAACTTTTGGGGTTTCCAGGAGGTTTTGGGGGTTCCAGAACCTCAAAATTTGAGGATTTTGGGGCGTTTTAACCCAAATTTGGGCTGGAAAAGCCCCAAAATCGCCGGAATTTTTTCCCTTTTTTTTTTTTTTTTTTTTTCCCCGCCCCCTCCGACGTTTCCCAATAAATTCCTGG